CTGTTTGATGCTTCACTTATAGTAGTCTCCAATTTATTCCTACCCTTAATGAACTGTAAGTAAACATTGATTAAGCAAAGGAAATTTTAATTTATAGTATGAAAGGGTATTGAAAACATCAATAACATAACTAAAAAATACTTTTTTTTTCTAAATAAAATGTCTAGACGTTTAAATGTCCTGTAAATAAATGTTGAAAATAATTTTTGGAAATTTAATCCTGTAACGTTCTTTAGTCATCTAGTAGTTTCATGGAGCCTTCGAAAGGTTATGGAAACTTCTGGAAGCTTCTAGATTTCCATTGGTTATTGAAGGAACACAGAAGCCAAATGATCAGTGCCACTTTAACAGAGGGAATTTCAGTGAATTCTCCAAAGAGAGTGTTCGCCTTCAAGAAGTTCAAGGCTAAGGGGATGAATTGGTTTCATTACTCTGCTCTCCTCCCCACTGATAGCTGATGTGTGGGGAGCGTTCTGGCGCACTGTGGCTGCCATCGCATCATCCAGGTGGGGCTGCACACTGGTGGTAGTGGAGGGGAGTCCCCATTACCTGTAAAGTGCTTTGAGTGGAGTGTCCAGAAAAGCGCTATATAAGTGTAAGCAATGAATTAATTAAATTAATTAACATAAAAAGCAGCGTCTGCTGGAATTTGCAGTAGGATTTAAAGAGGAAGTAACGTCAAGTTCAGGGATGAGGTGAATGTACTTGAGCGTCACAGGTTGCTGTGGGTGGATAAATAATTTTGGTTTCGGCTGTACATCCTGGGACGTTTCATTTAGCATGGAAGTTTTCAGTTTCAAGCAGGCTTTCAAACGTCATGGACGAAAGTTTGATTCCTCTGCCGTGTTTAATTCTGTTCATATTAATTTAAGCCTGTGGTTCGAAGCAGGTCGACTTGTTTCATCCTTGTAGCTGATGATTAATGTTTATCAAGGTGTCGCTTTAAGATGTGTTTTTTTTTTTCCTGCTTTAACTTCTTTTTGAAGGCCTTGCTTGCTGTCATTGGTCTGTCGTGTCACCGGTGTGAAATCCGATGTGGGTGACGCAGGGCTGGGGGTGTGGGTTTCGTCTGAAAACGATGCTCAGGGTTGCGAGCTGTTTTCCTCTCGAAACGGGTGGCTTTTCTAAAAACTGATTCGGAAGACAAAAAAAAATGTGAAGTTTCCAGGCTTGTCGAAATGGAATTGTACCAGGACACCGGGGAGGTGAGTGAAGTTTTCAACGACAGCGGCAGTTTTGACTAGTTTGTACAGGTGGACAGACAAGTGAATACGTGGAGGGCAAACTCGAGTGGATTTCCCCCACACCGCACGCGTGCTGTCCACTCGTTTCACTGAAATATATAAAAAAAGAGAAAGTGTATTCAGGATGAACATACAGGAATAGGTGCTGTCTCTTTTAGTTAAAGTCGAAACAAAACGAATGTGAACTCAGTGTGAAGTGCTGACACCGTGGAACAGGAGCCCGTATAGCACAGCCCGCCATACATGCCTATTATGTAAGCATTGCTATGACGTTCACCGTGTAACGTAGATGGTATGGGGGCGCACAGACTTTTGTGGGCTGCGTTTACTCGGTTTGTAATTCGTTATCCGCAATCGGCGTGGTGGTATTCATGCAAGCAGCTGTAACGCCAGGACCCGCACGGTAGGAGCACGCCAGGCCGGACTGACAGTCCGCAGCCGGTGTTTGTGTGGCGCTCGACAATTGGTGACGTGCGGAGCAAACCACGTCCAGAAGAACCACCCGCCTAGAGGGGGGTCGGGGTATACCCCGTGCTCCGTATAACGCTGTTTAACCGGGCAATAAAGCCTTCTTGATGAACACGGATAAAATAGCGTGTCTAAAAAAAAAAACATTTGGAATATTCAACAGAAAAGGGCGGATTATATTTTTAAAAAGTATTTACAATAGGAAGCCTCGCACCCCCGCTTGCTTGTACGTGCGTAAAGCGTTCCGTTTTACGCTGCGCGCTGCCTAAACAGGACTCCGTAACGATGAAGTGACAGACGAGACGAGACGAGCCGAGCGGAGCCGCGTCTTGGGTTTTGTATACATTACCGTTTCACCAGGAAAACGGGTAAACCGAGTGGTGGCGGACAGAGATGATGCCAGATGAAAGCGTAAACGACCTAGTCGGCGGCTCACCTGATGGGACGGCTTTCACAGTTGCAGCCAGAACGTACTATAGGCTAGCGGTGGAGAGAGTCAAGGATGTGAGTCTTGCAACCTACGAAATTGCCTTCCCCTGTCTGTTATCTTTCCAGTGACGTCCTGTGGTTGTATTCTATATTCGTGCTTTTTCGTGAACCGATTGCCAGAAGTGAGAGAAAATGTTAAATGTCTGAAAACAAGTCAAACCTTGCAGCCGGTGCAGTGACGTGCCAGGCGGTGTTTAGCGCACAAAACACTGACTTGTTTTTTTGGCGTGTGCAGTTATGATTTCGTGTAGATAGCGGTTCCGTAAGATCGCAGACAGTTACATTTTCTTTCCGTGCACGTTCATTTTAAACGAGACCCAAGAAAAGAATAACATTAGAGTTTTAAACGGTGGCGGTAGTTAGTGGCAATTCTTCATATATTATATTTTTAACTGGTTTTCATTTTTTTAGTTTTTACCTATCCCGAGGTTGACTTCCGGCTTTTACTCTTCATCGTTGACCAATTTGCAGATACTTTTTAAGTTGGCTGACTCGGTCAGTTCAATTCAATTCGAACTTTATTGTCCCCTAGAGGAAATTTGTTTTACGACACAGTCAAACACAACACAATGACAAATAAACATCACCGAAAGGGAAGAGAATACAGTAGTGTTACAGGAGATAAGAAACAAGAGACAAGGTAGTGACTTGGCATTAAGTGTGTGATTGCAGTGCGGATGAAAGATTTCCTGAGTCTGCTGGTTTTACACCTGGGGGCACAGAGGCGTCTCCCAGCTGGGAGAAGTGTGAATTCGCAATGGAGGGGCTGAGACACACACTCCCTGATGCTTTTGGCTTTCTGAGTCACCCTCTGTAAAGGATGCTTAAATTGATTGGATTATTCCTGATTATTTTGCCACTTATATTCACAAATTTACCAGCCTATTACAGTTACCAGTACTTATGTTGCCAAACCAACAAGTGAAGCAGTATGTTAAGACACTTTCAATGAATGGTTTGTAGAAAAGTGTAAGAATAGTTTTATCCGCCTTAAAGTAGCCAAGTTTCCTAAGAAAGAAGAGTCTCTTTTGGCCTTTTTTATAGATAGTGACACATTTGTCCCATTTTAGGTTTTCGTCAATGACCAGTCACCCGTACTTATAGTCATCAACAATTTTAACAGGCTGACCATCAATTATAGCTGGTTTGGAGGTGTGGTATTTTTCCTAAAATCAATAACCAGTTCCTTTATTTTTGAAACATTTAACTGTTGGGAGAACTCGTTGCACCAGTTAGTAAAATCATTTAGAATGGGCCCATGATGGTTTTCTGTGTCCTTTAATAAACTCCCAGAGCTGTGTCATCAGCACACTTAGACTTAATGAGAGGTCTATCTGTTTGCTTATGCAGTCATTAGTGTGCAAAATATACAGCAGAAGGGACAAGACACAGCCCTGTGGTGATCCAATTGACGTGTAGCGAATGTCAGATAAGCACTTCCCCAATTTGACCTGTCAATGCTCAGTTGGGTTTACATGCTTGAGGATATTTTGCAATGTGTCAAGTGTTTCAGGAAGCTGACTTGTAAACATGTCAGTTGTTGTGCTGCTCTTAATCAGTGGTTGTGTTTCTACATAATAACATGTTTATAGACCATAGACACATCCCACAGCAATGTTCTGTTGATGGTATCTAGTCAGAATTATGTTTCTAATTCAGTTTTTCTTTTCCAGCATCCTGTATATGCAACTTAAAAATTGCCTTCCAAGAAGGTAGATTATGACTCTTCATTTAAAAGAATGATATCCCAATTCCATTTAAAAAAGGAATTAATGCACACCCTCAGTGACCAGCATTACTGTGAATTAAATCATTTTCCCAGGGAGTTTTTAGTCCAAAATATACTTCTTCCCAAAGATGACATGAAAAATTTGTAATGAGCTTTTTTGCTTGGCGTTGTCAGTAACGTTGGTTGTGAACACTGAGATCCTCTGCTCGTCTCTTTAATATTTCATTTTGCCCTCTTCCCCCCTCAGGCTGTGTCGTCCTTGCCTGAGGACATGAGGCCTGGCCCTGACCTCTACGGACTGCCCTGGGAAGCAGTCATCCTCACTGCTTTTTTGGGAGGAATGACCGTGTTGATGTTCTTCTGTAGATCCTGTCGTTCAGTAAGCATATTCCATCCCTTATGTCAATTAATTCAGTCTTATTTTGCAATCAGAAAATACAGTTAGCTTGCTTAAGCCTCTGTAACACCGCATTTTTCTTGTTGCGTAACAATGATGCAACTCATTCTCATTCAGTCATATATCCATGCATCGCTACAAGTCTGCTTTTCCCAATGAACCTCATGACCACCCAGAAGCTATCCTGGAAGTGATCAGTCCCACAGGGTGCACCAGCCGCACGTGGGGAAACACCAGCCCATCCCAGAGCGCGCACACTCACTCACACGAGCATGCAGAGATCACGTGGAGACGCCATTTAACCACACCAGCACGTTCAACTTTGAGACTTCATTGTCATCGTTGTACGGGATCTGGTTCGCTGAGCTCATACCATCAAAGACGTACAGTACGACGATAGACCATAAAGCTTAATCACAGAGTGCATCCACCCAGCACATTGGGAAACAGCCTAAACACACTCCAGTGATGAAACAAGTAACAGTGGGGAGTAACAACGAGCTGTGCGAGATATAAAGTGCGGAGGTTATGCGCCTCACCTCTAGGTAGGTGCTGTTATGAAACCTGCTAGTCCTTGTCTTAATAGACCTGAGCCACCTAGCTGAGGCCCCATGTGTCTTTGTACCCGTGTCCCTGGGGAGATACCCAACGAGAAGGCAGCCATGTCTTAACGTCACAGGGAAAGCTGTATAAAGGAAAAGGCTACGTTGCTCCCAGGACTGCAAGGTCTTACTTAGAATGACGTTTCAGGATAATTTAACCTTTACATTCAGGAACAAAGAAACGGCAAAAGAGACGCGATTAGGGTCGTTAAAGAAAAATTAACAACAATAGCAGTCACGTTTTGTCTGACTCGGGACTGAAGAGAAATCGGTGGATTTACTGTAGATCTTTGGCTGGGTACATGTGGACACAGGGCCTCAGTTCTCCAGAGAATGGCGCACTGTGGGTGTCCTGGCAGTCGAGCCTTATTGTGGAGCCTGAGGCTTTTGACGAACGAGAGTCGATTGGATGAATCTGCTAGCTTCCACAAGCCGGCTGAGCACCAGAATACTGAGAGGCCCTCATTCGTTTGTAGCTTTTAGATGGTTTCTGATGCGGCAGTGCGCGCGTGGACATGGTGTCTCTTGTGAGAATTGGGTCCTCTCCAACACCTTCCCCAAAGCATGTGTAGTAACAGGAAACTTGACTCATCTCACTTTCTGCACCCACTCACTCACACTGCTCACAGGTCTGCAGCTTCACCCAGGCAGAGGAGGGAAATTAAATCTGTCGGCAAATTCGTAAAGACCCATTCACAAAAACGAAGACCTTTATTATGTGAAGTGATCCTACAGAATTATAGGTTGTTGATATAACCCTGACAAAACTGATAATGTGATTTGATTTTCTAATTTTGATTTGATTCAGAAATAGCCGGAAATATGACCTATCTTGTATTCCATGCCTTTAAAATCTTAAACATAGGTGCTTCCTGGTTGCGCTTGCTAGGCCTGGATTACAACCAAAATAAATATATTAAATAATAAATCTTGCCTGCATTTGGTGTTCAATATTTTCCTTAAATTAAACTTTTTTTATGTATGCGCTTTTTTTTTGTCTTAATATTGTTTTGTAAGAGCTTTTCCTCAAATTTCTCCTTGAAATGTAAGAAGAAGAAACTCCAGCTGGACAGATAAAAGGAATATTTTGTGGTACAATAAGGGAGATTATTAACATAATGTCAGGGGATGTCTTGTTTGTAAAATGTGGATTTAACAGAAGTGATGTAATTGTATATTCAGAGATGTCTATCTGGGCAAATGGGTGCTTTAAAGAACACTGCCAGTGCCTTCCTCAGTCCTGTGATGCAAAAATACATAACAGGTTTGTTGAATTATTTGGAAGGTGTATTGTCTGTTTCATTACCTCAGTTTACTATGTGATAAAAAATATTTTAACTCCTTAATAAGTCTGAATTTTAACACTTTCTAACAGCATCTTCCCATTTCTTTTTTCCACTACAGGTAAAAAGCAGGTTGTATGTTGGTGAGTATAGAAATGTTTTACCACCTTTTGAAAAATACTTTGTATAGATCCATAAAGTTTGAATGTTGTGTCATGACCCGCCATTTGTATACGCTCTGCACCTGTACTGTGTTATGCTGTCGTGACCTGGCGTGTGGGCTGGCTGGCAGACTTCAGCCTCTGCCTGCAGGATCGAGTCTCCCTGCGGACGGCATCCATTTTGTTTTCTCTAAAACATACCGTTCTTTGCTTACAAGCAGGTTGTTTGTGTTTTGTTTTGGGGATTTGTTTTCCCCAGGAAAGGAGAGGAAACTTGGAGAAAAAGTAGCAGAGCTGCTGGAAGAAAAATGCAAAGTTCTAGAGACCCTGAGCGAGTGCAAGCTAAAAGTAAGCAGGTCTCCTTTTCTGATTTTACCCTTATTCACTCTTTCAGACCGGCACGTGTTAGTGTCCTTCTTAGAGCTCGTACTGTTCACCCTAAAAAGAAGGTTGGGTTGAGTTGGGGTTTTTTTTTGTATTCGCAGTACGAAAAACTGGAAACCACTCTGAAACACGGCGGCCTTTCAGAGCAGGCCACAGAGAAAGAGAATCTGCAGGTAATGGAGTGTATGACAGAGGGTGTCTGAATAAACCTGGCTTTGCGTAGCAAAGACCCGGGAATGTAAATATTAAAACACTTTCCCTTTCTAGAGTGATATCAATTAAAAAAAAATGTTAAGAAATAAATACAGTATTTGCAAAACCAAAGATGCTGCAGTTATATTAAACCTGAGCGGTCTTTCGTGCAGGAGAAAGCCGTCCATGTGATTAAAAGCTGACACATAGCAGTACAGTGGCATGGTGCTGTCACGATACTGCCACACAGCTCCAGGGCCTGTGTTCAGTTCTAGCTCAGGGCACCTGTGTGTGTGGAGTTGGCATATTTCCCCGTTTTTGTGTAGGTTTTCCCCAAATGCTCCAGTTTCCTCCCAGCTCCCAGAGACGCGCAGGTTAGGTTTGAGTGTCCCATTCCTGGGGGTTAGGGGTTCAAAGTTCAACGTGCCACCAGCACTGGCTGTCGTGTGAGCGAAGCGGCCTCCTCTCGTCTGTGGCGCCTGTCCTGTTTCTGAACTTGAAAGACTTCTAAACTCGGGGACTTGCTGTCTTGTTTTAGGTCATGTCTAAGAAACTTGAACAGTCCAATGCGGAACTGAAAGATGAAATTGAGCGCTTGAAACAGGATCTGGATTCTCAGAAGGCCACACGGTCCCAGCAGGGGGAGCTGGTGAGTGACATTCGAAAGTGATCGGGAGAAAACAGCTCTCACTCCCAAAAGCGATCTTACCATTACTCTTTGGGGTTAGGAGATCGCTGCAGGCTGGTGTCTTTATTTTCTTTTCTTCTTTATAAAATTGCTAAATGAAGTTGGTTTTGCCTAATACATCGAACATTTTGAGATTGGAATGATTAGTAATATATTTGCTGTATTGTCGACAGCTTGCTGGAATGCAGTTATCTTTGAAGAGCTTGGAAGAAGAGGCAAGAGATGTGAAATCACAGATGGAGCAGGTAATTTGGGGTTATGGCTTGTTTGTTTTACCTTTTTGCATAATAATGATGCAATGCAATAATAACGAATGGTGACTAGCAGCCATATTCTTTATAGAGCTGCTATGTTGTTCAAGGAGTTTTTGAAAAAAAGTATGTTTTTGTTGTCTATACCACTTGTTTAGGCACAAACAACTCTGAAAGTCTACGACATTAACAGTGAAAGACTGAAGAAAAGTATCCAAACAGCACTGGAAGAGAACTCTCATCTTCACGAGAGTGAATCTCAGGTATTCTGCATTTGTTTTTTTATGAATGCCTGAAACTCAAAAATAAAGCTTCATAAATCCTCTAGCATCATTGCTTGCACCATGTTATTTGTGCTTGTTCTGTTGCTCAGGAATGGTCCAAGAGGTTCAAAATCTTATAAAAGAAATACACATATCCTACTTTCTGTTCCATAATTCATTAAATTGCAAGTACTTTATATATTTTTATAGGAACAGTGTTAAATGTAATTAAAAACAAACTGCACCGTCGGTGTTGGATCACTTCTGTTGAGACAATACTGTAGGTCACCTATGTATCGTCATCAATCAGGTCAGATAAGTAAACAAGTGGTGTTTGGCATGCGCTATCGTTAAGGAAAATGGTGGAATATTTCCTTTCATTTCTTCAGGGTTGTGGGTGATAAAGTTGACACGCCTCGGCCGGTTGCCGTCAGACGTGCCACCTGGGTGCCGCCGTGTTTAAAGGGCTTGTCTGCTTTGGATTTTCTTTCAGCTTGCACAGGAAGCCGAGGGATGGGAGGAGCGGCTGAGCGAACTTGCCGAGGAGCTGAAGATGTGCGAGAGCTCTCGGAGAGACATGCAGGCAGACAGCTCAAACAAGGAAGAGCAGATCAAGGTGGAGCTGTTTTTACTGTAACGTGCCCTGTAATGGGCATAGGCAGCACTCTTGTTCTGAATGCATGTCTGTTGTGCACTAGATGTGTGATGGAGATTGATTCTCCTCGATTCTGGTGCGGTCCAGGTGTAGGGATTTTGGTAGAAGGCGTGTTCACGTTTCCTTTCGTGTTGCCCATCCAGACTCTGACGGACTGCCTGCTCAAGATGAAGGACTGGGATTCTGAGCTGGAGGAGGATGCAAATGAGGAAGAGGAAGAAGGGACGAGCACAACAGAAAACGGAGATTTAGGTACTGCTCTCGTTCTTCTACTCTTTTTTTATTGTAGAACAGTTAACAGAGACTCTCGTACAATGAGAGCCTTTAAAACATTGTATGTGAATAAAAATACAATCAGTCTTTTATTCAAAACCTCCCCAAAAGACTGGACTGGTTACATTTGTTTAGCATTCAAGGCTGGCACATGGAGGACAGATGATTTTCCACATCAGGATAAAGATACCACCTTCTGTTTTTGACTAGTTATAACAGTTTGAAACTAGTCAAATTTAATCAGTTTTTTGTATTTCAATCTCTTTTGAAACAGATATGCATCAGAAGCAAAAAGTGCAGAAGCTCATTTATGCAGCAAGGGTGAGTTTGAAAAAAACATTGGCTTAAACCTGTCAGATGAGATTTTTTCAGTTTTTTTCTTTTTTATTTGTATGTGGCTTATTAGAGACGCTCCGTTTCATCCATTGCTAAGTAAAATAATACAGTATAGTTCAGCCTTCATGCGAAGAGGAGTTAGAATTTGAGAGTGAGTGTGAGTGTTTCAGGGCTGTTTTCCCTTTCAGATGAATGCAGATTTAAAGTCTATGGAGGAAGAGAAGACCAGGGTCTTTGCCAGACTTGCGGATGAAGTGAAAACGAAAGAAGATCTGCGAGGTGTGTGAGCTACTCTAATAACCACTCGGACTTGCTACACAGAGACCATTTTTAACTATGGTCATGTTTTGCATTAGATGCTTTTGGCCAACTAGAAACAAAGTTTGTGAAGTGTCTCTTAAGCATAGATAAATCAGAAGGGTTAAGTTGAAAAAAAAACGTGTTTTGACTTTCCTTGCTAAATTGTGCTGTAAAAACGCGTTTTCCCTCCATAGAGTAAATCAGCCCATGTTCATAATTTTAATTGGCACTTCCTGTGTTTGTGGTAAGAACGCTGGATTCGGGGGCTCAGAAGCTCAAATTGCACGTTGCTTTGGCAGATCGCATCGGGAAGCTTCAGACGGAGAAGAGCTCGCTGCAGGTTGAAAGTGCCAAGTACACTGACGAAACGCAGAAACTCCAGCAGAAACTGCAGATCATGACTGAGATGTACCAGGAAAATGAACTCAAATTACACAGGTGCTTAGCCGTGCCTGATTACATGGGGACTTGTCGTATGTAATGCATTCATTTCTAAATTAGAAGTTTTAACAGAAGTCGGAAAACTTCCTGTCATAGAGACAGGCAGTGAAGATAGGGGGCTTTTTTCTCACATCTTTACCACTAGAATAATGCATTTCATCGGTTAAAGCTTTGTAAGCAAGCACTTAGCAACTTATCTTCACTTACTAATGTGAAGTTTTTTGCCAGTGTTGCTGAAGCAGCTTTTGAGAAGGGTTGTGTGGGACTGTATTTCAGACATCATAATGGAATAGCTTGTGAGGAGATGCATCACATACAGCATTGCACTGCACAGGGGGGTTTAAAGCCGTTCATGAAGTGTTTCCTATTTTTTGTGTGTGCTTGCATGATAGAAAGCTGACGGTGGAGGAGAAGGAACGCTTGCAGAAGGAGCAGAAGCTCACAAAAGCCGATGAGAAGATCAGCCTGGCAGCAGAGGAGCTCAACACGTACAGGTAAATTGTACACCTGCGGGAATATCGTACACAGCCGACCCTACTGCTTACAGGTGTGCACAAGGCACATGCACCTCATTAGCTGCAGTTTTGCAGAATTTCAATGTTCTCCATATTCCTGCATGTTGATTGAAATATTGGAATGACCAGTTTGATAACTTAAGTTAAGTTTTAAACCTGGTAATTTTAAATGTTGTTCTTCTTTTAGGATTATTATAAAGATTTTCTGTTTGTACATATCTGGAAAGTTGCTTTTGATGGAAGTTGGGACTTGGTTTGGAATCTGTTTACTGCATTGTGTAGGTGCTTTTAAAACATTTTTAGGAACTTTTTATTTCCAACATTCTTTTTTTTTCTTGTAGGCAAAGAACCAAGGACCTTGAAGAAGAATTGGAAAGGACATACCAGGCCTATAAAAATCAGGTTTGTTGTTTTAATATAGAATATTTTTATTACGTTAGAGAGTATTGTCACTTCTAGATAGTACAATCCACATCATAGACTTTTTAAATGCCAGTGAAGGCAGATAATTCTACAGAACTGAATAATTTTAGACTTTATTGAACACAGCTGATCATAAGATGTCCTCCTTGAAATGCAAAGCTAAGGTTTAAGTTGTTTGCTTATTGTGTTGCCCAAGTGGGTAATGCAGGTCATATGTAGTGCACACAGCCATTGTGTCTTTATCTTGTTCTGTATGAGCCCTTTGGGGAGAAGGTCTTTCTGTTAAACCAGCTTGAACTATATTGATCTTGTGATGGCTGCCCTGCTTTCTTTATACTGGATTCCAGTTTGGTTTTTGATTCCAGTTGAAGGTATTGCTTGCCTCTTCTACTTGGTTTATCCAGAACAGTCTGTTTACAGTGTGCTTGTCTCTTTGCTCTTGTGTATTTCTCAGATTTCATCGCATGAGAAGAAGGCACACGATAACTGGGTGAGTAGGGAGGGGGCAGTTTTCTGGATTAGGATTTCTGCACAATATCTAATTTCTTCTTTTTTTTAAAAAAAAGAAAAGTTTTGCTCATCTGTGACCTTGTCCAGAATTCCTCTGCACACTGTTAAATGTCGGAAGGCACACAGCTGAGCGTTGCGCACAGGTGAAAGCGGTTGTCTGCATGGGATATGGCTTGATTAAAGAACGTCTATAACCTGCGTCTCACACAAACTGGTGTTCTTGCTTTTCCGTCTGTGTGCCAGCTGGCAGCGCGAGCAGCAGACCGAGACCTGGGTGACATCAAGAGAGAGAACTCCCACCTCCGGCAGAAGTAAGAGTGCCATAAGAGACGTTTAGCCACACGGGAAACTACGCCACGGAGCAGAGCGGTTTAGAGAGAACAGTAACATAAGTGTACCTTAGAGCTGCATTCTCCTCGCCTCACCCCATAGATAACTGCTATGAAAAGCATTTTTTGACTTTGCTCCTCATCGGGGTGATGTGTTTTCTGCTGTTGCCATTTTTATGGTTCAGTGTCAGGCAGGTCCGTGTCAAGTTCGTTTTGATGTCAGTCTGGCCTTGTTAGTGTGTGTTCAGAGTGTCGCGTCCCTCTGTGACCGCCGTGGGGAGTGTGGTATGTAGTTCTTCGGTGAAATGCAGGGTGAACTGGGTGCGAACGATGTTGACTCTGTGCAGGCTGACAGACGCGCAGTTCAGACTGGAACTGGTGGAGAAGGACCCTTATGCGCTGGATGTTCCCGGGCGGCCCCTGTTCAGAGGTGACTTTCTCTCATCACCTGCACAACTTCCAGCTTTCGAGTTTGGGCAGGTTTTACTCAACAACGATGTGGTTTTTACCTGTGCAAATAAGAAAATTAATGAAGCCCTAAAACATGCAAGTATAATGAATACCACCTAAAGGCTCGAGCTGAATGTTTAAAAAATGTAATAGGTTGTAACTCTGTTTCAAAGAACGAACAGGCGTAAAAATTGCCCTCTGATGCCAAGACGTGGAGACCCGAGGCAAAGTAGTAATCCACGCATGAACAAAACATGGAGAAATAATGTACAAACTTCTGAAATCTTTACCATAGGGATGATAACATTATTTTTTAATCATTGGAGTGACTGAACTTGGAGAATAAAGTGTGACCCCCCATCAGAGCCATCCTAAGGAAAATTATTGAAATTTGCATTATTTTCACTTGATTTAGTCTGCAACTGTTTTGTTTGCTTTTCCTCCTGTGTGTTATGCCTCTTGATATACCTTGAACAAAATACATTTATATTGCGCACAAATATATGCAAAGGCATATTTATATAACCAGAATGTAATGGAAGAAATGGGGTTACTCTTCTTGCATACTTCTTTTTTTTCCCCCTCAAGATTCTTACTTAAATTATAATGCTGTGATTTCTCTCCGAGTGAGTTCCTGAGATGGAATCTGTGACTGTTTTACGTGCCATTCCGCCCCGTGGTGGAACAGGTGCCCGTTGCCGACTAAGTAGCTCGTATCGAGACAGTGGGGAAAACGCGTTCCGCCCGGAGCCTCCGGAATGGCGGCCCGTTCGGTTTGCGGAAGACGCTGACCCCCGCCATGGTGTGTTCTGCCGCTAGGTGAGAGGTCCCCCTTTGGCCCCTCTCCGCTGGGACGGCCTTCCTCGGAGACCAGGGCCTTCCTGTCCCCTCCCACGCTGCTGGACGGGCCGGCGCGACTCTCTCCACAGTTTCCCGGCGGGCCTGGGGGCAGAGGTGACGCGTTCGTCGGGGCTGTCTGTGTATCGTGTGGCTCTGCGGTGCTGTGGGCACCTCCGTGATCCTGTTATCAAGACACGTTTATTAATAAATACATTGCTGCTGGAAATTGGTACACACAACGTAGGACTTACATTGCATGTCCCATCAGCCACATTTCATGAAGGTTAAGCAGTAAATCAGTGCTGAGCTGACTGTACCTTTTAAGTTGGATTTGGAAGAGATTTATAACCAAATTGTGGGAGAAGGTGTTTAATCTTATTATTTTTTACAAAGTGTATTTTTGTCAGTAATCATCATGTCTGTTCGGTATGGGGAAAAAACAACATCATTTGAGAGCTTGTTTTCCTCATCAGTAAGCAGGGTCACAAATAGATGGGTAGTGTTCTTGCTGTGAGCAGTCAAAAGCCTGAAACAGTAGAAACTTGAAAGGTATAGTCACTGTAACTAGCATTACATGTGTAACTGTGCTACATGCATTGTTTGAGCATAGCAGCAAAATTCCCTGAGTCAGTGTTGCTTTGTTGCTGAGCAAAGCTCTAGCCCCAATCATTGCAGTTACTAGCAATCTAATAAGAGGTTAAAAAAAAACATTCATTCTTTTCTGCAAAGATTCAGATTTTAAAACTAGTAGCAAAAAGTACAGGATGCTGTTGTGAAGATGTTCGTTTAGAAATCTTTAATACATTAGTAAAGAAAATGAGCCGTGCTCTTGTTGTTCTTGTTGTGGCTGGAGTGTTTTTGTGTATTGAATTTAGCATTCAGAAATAACATCAGGCTATTTGTTTTATATTTTGTTAGCATCGAGAGGTCCTCCAGTTCTTAGTGAAGGTCTGGACTGTGACAGGATTTTGGAAAACCACGGCTCTCACTCTGACAGTGGATCATTGTCTCCTACATGGGAAAGAGACAGGAGGGTCCAAGTGCCCCCACCAGGTACAGTGATGGTCATATGTGTGGACACCCTCTGGATAATATCGGGCATTGGTCACTCATCTTCTGGCTTTGGAGGCTGAGCAGCAGAAAGAGCAGCATTGCTCTGTTGAGATATTCATTGACTCTTTTTATTCATACGCATATATACTGTATATGCATTTAATCCTAATCTAGTTTATCTTGTGGAATGTGTTAATATATTAAGTTAAGTTGTCTTTTTATAGCAACATCTATTTGTGATGATCATCAGGCATATTCTGACAAGCTTCAATATTTCCGGATAAAATCTCCTCTTCTGTTTCTGCCTTCTTTCATGATCTGTTACTGATTATTAGAGAGCTTTTTTCCAATATTGGAGCTCTTTGTGAGTAGCTGAATGAGCTTGTAGCACAAAGCTGTTAAAAAAGCCGAATAAGCAGACCGTTTCTCTGAGTGCTCAGCTGCTTGACACATTTGTGCCAGAGATTTCTGAACAATTTGACCATTCTGACACCCATTTTTTAAATAGTGTCATTTTCTGAATATGCATGAAGGAGGAGAAGACATTGTAACGTTCTTGAGGGACATTTGCTCTAAGCCAAGAGAACAAATGCCATTATCTGGAGGGTGCAAATTGTTATGGCATCACTGTATTTTGTTAAAGAAAATGATAGTTGATATCATGTTAACTGTCCTTGACTTTATACAGTGTTTTTTTCATTTCTTTTCAATAATAGACAATACTGAACTAGGATTTAAAAGTAATCTAAGTGATGCAGACAGACGTTTTGCCTGATGCTTGCGCTTGATGCCCACGTGTGCCTTTTACAGTGCTTGTCTGTACCTTTCGAACTTCGTTCTCTCAAAATATTTTGCTCCACCGTTTTGAAGCTAGCATGTCATTTATGAGAATGCACTTGATGTTTGACAGTACTGTACAGTGATGGGACTCCTTTGCAACAGGTCCATAATCCTTCTCACCACCATTATCATCATCATTATTATATCACTGTTTATTCTAATGCACACTAATTCACCCTCTTTTTCAAACTAATTTATTGCACAGTAAGTCTACAGTTTATTGCATGAATAAAGTTGCATGTGCTGGTGGTCACCTGATTTTTAACACATTCCTCTCAACAATAGTTTTCTTTCTAGTGTTGTCCTTAATGCTGGAGTTATGCTGTTTTTTATGTAAAAGAGAAAGGACAAGGTGGTTATATTCTGGCCTCAGGGATTTTTCAAGTCCTTGCACAGGAGTATCTTCTGTAGTTTCCTAAGTTCAGAAGTGATTGAACCTCTGTATTGCATCTTCTGAAATTATTTTCCTTCACTTTTCCCACCTTACCTATCCTAGTATGTAAACATGATTTTTATTTGTTCTTTGTACAAAAAGATTGTTTTACTTGACTGTCTTGTATTCGGGAAAAGCTTTAACTTATGTAGAATTGCCATTTGTCTTGAAGACTGAGA